TGTTCAGTACTCTTTTCTCCTACTATATAGTAGGTAAGTAGGCATATTAGAACGCAAATTAAGTATACATGCGTCCGAATCTCGCGAGAATTATTGCAATTTTCGCCTACTCTTTTATGAATACTGAGGATTCAAACATACTCATTTGCTCGCCTACTGCTTTTTGCCTACTATATAGTATAGAAGTATGCCATATCGGACGCAGCCACTGAGTCATTAATTCAGTGGATTCTTTCCAAACTGCTGATTCATTGAGGAACCAAGTAAGAAACAATGGATCAGTGAATCATTGACTCACCCGATTCGTTCAAAAACTCACATTCATTCAGTAAGGAAACACCGCTGTTAGCGAAATCAAGCAAAAAAAAAATAAAAAATACAATGTCTTTACATTGTAATTTACTTAATATTAATTTCTTGTTCATTGAGTTATTACACGAAGAAAAGTCTGCCATACACCATGTTAACCGAATCGCTCTGCCTGTGTGTCCTGGAAAGTGTGCTGCGCCACCGAGAGATGCTCAAAAATGCAAATCAGACACATAATTTAAAAAATAATAAGAAATATAATTATATATTTTATAAAAATATAATACTTTTTTGAAGAATGTTGATTTTCATTTTCAAATAATTTATCTAGTAAAGTACACCGCCTGCCTCCAAAAGATCTAATCTCATTGGCTGGATTGTACAGACCATATAATCTCTTATCTACGGTTGGTCAGTTTACATGTCAATCAGAAGTACGAGCCTCAGTGGGCGGGTCTTGTCAGAGTGAATGATGACGTAAGCAGACACTGTTGGATGAGCAGCGAGCAAATCTGTGCTTCTAATAGAAATTGTTTTAATGCGCATGAAATCTCAGTGAAGAAGCATTCAGGGCATAAAAATAAAAACATTCGAGGCTTTACTGCAAACTTCCGGGGCTTCAGCCCCTTTAGCTGAGCCGATAATGACATGATTCAGCGCTTTAACTGATCGATGACAGACAGCAGAGGATAATTTCTCGAGGTGTACTGGGGCCTCATTTATAAAATACTGCGTAGAAAGAATCCTAAATGTGATTTTACAATCATTTCTCAAAGTGCATATGTGGGATTCGTAGAACGAACGCACGCACAGAAAACATGCATACGCCTCTCTTTTAGATGTGAAATCTATAAATTGCAATGATCTTGAAATTGTGCGCAGCTGAACAGTTTCAGATCTCCGCCTTGTAAACAATGTCTAATTAATGTCCTTGACTTATAAAAGAGCAGCTGACAATGTCCAACTCTTTTACAAGCGGCAAGAATGGCTTATATTTCCAAAAACCTGCAGCACTCGGGCAAACAAAAGTGTGTACGTCTGCTCCGACCCTGACGTGGTGCTAAGCTCTTTTCCTCGTCAAAGACCGTTTTTATAAATATGAACGTTGCCGTGGATTTTAGCGCACGCACACTCTACGATCAAATCTGTGCGTACGCACGTTTTATAAATGAGGCCCCTGATCTTTCATCTGTGATGGAAACATGCCAGTTCTGTCTGTTCGGAGACACTGATTTTGTGCTAGTAATATATTCTTATTGCGCTGATCAGAGACACTTATCATCTATTACTGTTCAGCGTTTTATTCTTTCTCACACTGAAATACTAAAAAGCGGATGTTTTTGTTCAGACCAAAGCGAAAATAGACCCATATTTTTACGCAGCAAACATGATAATTTATACTTTTGACTCATCTTCTTAAAAATGGTTTAAATAAATGTCATGTTTATCATTTTATAAAACTTTGTTTTTGTGAAAAAAACTTTGTTTTTACAATTACCATTGCCCCACCCCGCTGATACAGTATTAATCTTATTTGTGCAGCTCTTAAAAAAGGTCTTAAAAGTCTTTCAATTTGATACACATTTTGTGTAGGTATAAAGTTTACTCTGTTCTTCTCCGAGTTCAGCGGCCAATTACCTTCATGTCTTTCAGGAGAAGAGAATTAATTAATGTTTCAACGGCGCCATCAACTAACATGATCAATAAAGGTGCTTAAATGATTAAATAATTTACTTACAAATACTTGAGAAGATATTTCATGATATGGTTAACAAGTTTGGCAATATTTCGAATAAAAAAGAAAAATGAAATAAAACCAATACATCAGTTATACAGCGCTATTGTGATTAAGTGCATGACGCCCTCGCTCCTTTGATGAATAATTTCTAATACAAATAATTATTTACAATCTTGATTTTTAGGAATAAAAGCATATTATTTCATCTTTAAACCCACAGAATTATATTGTGATCTGGCTGAATAAAAGGCTCGTGCTGTTAAAAAGCCAACAAAGAGAAAAAGGTGTGTTTCTATTGTTCAGACACGCTCTGTCTCTCTCTCTGTGTGTGTGAGTGTGTGTGTGTGTGTGTGTGTGTGTGTGTGAGTGTGTGTGTGTGTGTGTGTGTGTGTGTGTG